ACAACAGCTAAGTGAGTTCCCGGACCCAAAGTCAATAGGGCATTACTGGAAGCCGCTGCTTGCTGAGCTTGGCAGCAGCCTTGAAAAGAAGATTCCTACTTAAAATTGTAGTTGGAGGAGAGCCCTTGCAGCCATCCACTGTGCCACCAGTGTCCCTGCCTGGCAGCCCGGGCGGGGGTAGGGGGAGGTGGGGGGTGGAGGGGCTTGCTTCACCTCAGCGCCCCTTGAAAGCTGGGGGTGGGGGTGGGGGTTGAGGGTTTCCCTCTGAGGATGAAGCACTGAGTTCACAGTTCAGAGATGAATCATACGTTCAGAGGGATCAACTCAAAGGGACACTGTCCATGATTCACCCCATGTTCTCCCAGAATAACTAGCCCCTTTCTCTCAGGTGGAGGGGCAGCTGCAGCAGGCCCAGAGCCCTTGGGAAGGGCCAGTGTGGCTGGGGTTTCCATTCCAGTCAGCCCAGGGTGGAGAGCCGCAGCGGGCACCTTTGGGAAGGACGGGCCTGATGCCCAGTGTGTCTGAGACGGATGGCCCTGTCTCTGCAGAGAGCTTTCGCCTTTGTGCCTTTGCTACCATCTGAGCATTTCCTTGCTTTTGCATCGAAGACTGGATGGAGTTTGGATGATTTTTAAAAAATGACTATTTAGGAAACAGCTGATGGCCCTGTAATTCTTCTTAGGGAGGAAATCAATTACTTGGAGAAATATTTTGAAGGGCTATTTGGGCTCAGTGAATCCTGCGGACAGAGGTGTTGGTAGGCACTGAGGGTCAGTAAACGCAAGTGATTTGGTGAGGTCTGTCTCAGGAAGAGGAGCCCTCAAGGTTGGTAGTTCAAACCCACCAGTCGCTCCATGGGAGAAAGAAGCGATTATTTGTCCCCATAAAGATTTACCACCCAAGAATCCTATGCAGGGTCACTATGATTTGGGGTTGACATGATGGCAGTGGGGTTTGGTTTTCAAGCTAACACGGGGCTGTTTGGATCTGTGCCCAAAGATCTCACAACAGCAAGAAGGCCAACCATTGGAAGAGCACATGGTAGGTGCTTCATAGACACTCATTAAGTCAGTGGAAAGTACCACGGTTCTCCAAGAGAACAAACAAGTGTGTCGTGGAAGAAGTATGTCCAAAGCGCAAGAATGGTGAGAATTCGTCTCACGCACTCTGGACCCGTTGTCAGGGGAGACCAGTCCCTGGAGAAGGACGTCATGCTTGGTGAAGGGAAGGGCCAGTGAGAAAGGTTCGCAACAAGATGGATGGTCACAGTGGTACCAGCACAGGCTCAAACCTACGAGCGGTGGTGAGGGTGGCGCAGGACCGGGCAGTGTTTTGTTCTGTTGGGTATAATTTAACCACAAGTTAATGGAGGATGGAGGACGTCGTGCCTGACAGTATCTCACCAACAGCAGCTCACTCAAATCACAGCTGAAGCTGAAGGCGGCTAAGCGAGAGGCCAGGAGAGGGCCGGCCAGCCGGGGCTCCTCCACCTTCCATCAGTATCTGGAGTCTCCATCACTGCCGCTGTGTGGATGCAGGAACGTTCTGGGTCTGGGGAGCTTTCTGACAAAGCTCGGTTAGTGCACTGGCTTATGGTGCTGCCTTCTCCCGTCCACCAAAGAAGCAGCTCCTCGCTCCACTGGGAGCCCCTCCCTCCCAAAGCAGGGCCAACACTCACTGCTGTCAACACAGGGCCAACTCAGAGCAGCCTCACAGGACAGGGTCGACCTGCCACGGTGGGTTTCTGAGACTGTAACTCTTTATGGGATATGGGTCTCCACCGACTTGGTGGGACCC